AACATTTTGGAAATCTAGAAAGTCCTATTCTACTACCTACTACTGATATTACTTTTATCAATAATATTTTTTTCTTACATAACCCAGCAGATAGCTTAGCTCTATATAGTAAATTAGTTACATCTATTGAACTTTTTGAAAGTTATTACACTTTTGATTAGACTCCACAATTCCTTTATTACTTACTGACAATTTAGAAACAGAAAAATATATTACTGTTTCTGTAGAAATTACACTTCTACTGATTTATTTCAACAAACTTTTGAAAATAGTTCTTCTCCTTCATCTTCACCTCAACTTGTTTTTTCTCAACCTCAATCTATCATTGTTTAATTCTAACCTATTGTTATTCAATCTCAATCTTAACTTCTTCCTTCACTTCTAACTATTCTTGATAACCTTTCTGACCTACCTGATAATATGACATAACAAGCTTTACAAGATGCTGCATAAGCTATAGCTAACCTTACTAATGCTTTAAATAGAAGTCAAAAAGCTCTTATAAAAGTTGATTTCTTTTATGATGATAAAACTCAAGGTCTAGAACAATAGCTTGAAGATTTTCAAAAAGCCATTACTGTTAACAAGTAGGATGCTGCTCAAAAATTAGAACTTATATCTGTATATTTAAAAAAAATTGTATTAGATTGGTGGTTAAGTCTTAACCTTGCTTCAAATGCTTTTGATGATAATGTTAACCAAAACAGAAGCTTTAAACATCTTTTTAGGCTTTACTTCCACATGTCTAAACAAAAAGCTATTTGGCAGAAACAGTTTTTTGATATCAAACAAGGCCTAGAAACAGTAGATGCCTATGTTAATTATTTTAGATAATTAAAAAGACAAGTTGATCCTGGTAATGCTTTTCTTGTTGACTTTACCAAACAGCTATTTATCTAAGGACTACATCCTAAATTCTTTATCAATATACAAGCTAGTGAATCTGCTAATCTGAATGCTGCTATTACTACTACAAAATAATAGAAAACTAGATATGTAATAGCTGCTAGCACTACTATAAAAACAGACCAAGCTATTAAACAACTAACAGATTAGATTGCCAAACTTAATATTAATTTAGCACAGCAACAGCAATCACCTCAACCTCAATCTGCTAACTATGCAGCTATACCTAATCCTAACAGACCTCAAGTTAAAAATCTATGTTACTGTTATTACTGTGAATGTACAGGATATTTTATTGCTGAATATAAAACCAGACAAGTTAAACAATAATTCAACCAAAGAGATAACTATAAAAGAAATAATATACATAACCAATAATCTTGCTTTTAAAGTTATGATAGATCTTATTATTGAAACCTTTCTAGAAAAAGAAGAAACTTTAGAGAAAGAAGCAGATATTCAGACTCTTATAATAGTGATAAAAGAAGAACTAATTTTCACTTATCCTTACTCTACTATAGAGATATTAACTATCTTGGCCATGAAGATTTTTCTCCTACTCCTTCTGTTACAACATCAAAGAAATGAGAACAGTTCTTTGACAACCCTTCTATTTGTATAACTATGTTTGCATACCTATATGAAGAAGCAAAAAATGCTAATCTAGTCCAATCTTCTACTCATACTACCTCTATAAAATGTAATATTCAACTTAAAAACAGATCTTATCAAGCTATCATCAATAGTGGTGCTGCTATTAGTATGATTACTTATCGGACTGTCAAAGAATTAGAACTCAAAATTACACAAGCCTCTACTAGTCTAATTGTTATAGCAACTGGTACTTCTATATGCCCTCTAGAAATTATTAAGGATTTTTAGTAAAAATAGAAAAAATAACTATTTTAATCACTGTTAATGTTGTTTTTACTATTTCTTATTTTTTTCTTTTTGGAAATGACTGGTCCAAGAAAGTTGGTACCAGTTATAAATAGAAGAATAGTTGTTATTTATTCAAGTAGAATAACAAAAAGGTTTTAGTACTAATGACCTATAAAAGTGATCATGCCTTATCTGTTCAACTAACAGTAACAGCACAAAAGAGCTTAACCTCTATAAGCAAGAATTTCTTATTCTTCATAAAGCATATACTACTTAACTTACTTCAAAAACGAATAATGAAGAATGAACCATCTACCAACCTCAATGACAAACTTAAGCTGCCTCATTTTATATATGTGGCAACTGTAAATTCTTTGACCACCTCTTTGCTAATTGCTCTTAAAATACTTGTAACTAATACCATTATAAGGGACATATTGCTATCCATTGTTAACTACAAGCCCTCAAAGAGAAACTTGCAAGAATTGCCAAAGCTCTGAACACCTCTATTAACAATGTTCTGAAAATATTTGTCATAAATGCAACTCAATAAGACACATTGCTGTTGATCATTCCTTAGCTCCTCTAAAGCACCAGAATTAAACCTACCAATATAAATGCAACTCTAATAAAATTGAAGCCCAAAGACAATACTATTATAGCAATTATTATACTCATTATTGCTGCCATTGTAGAACTTCCAAAGACTAAAAACCTTACAAGAATTAGATAAAGTTTTTGTTTATAAAGGTTGCTATACTGACTTCTATCAAAGACTTAATTATGATGACCCTAGAAGCCAATACTATTACACTCAAGATAATAGATGTAAAACCTTAGTTAAATGTAAATTATGCAAACATGTTGAACCTAGGAACAGAATACATAATTTAGCAAGTATTATAAAGAAATTATAGTTTTGTAAACTTGAATATTTATATATTTATAAAGCCAGTACAGATGTTCTCTATAACCCTAACTATAACCTGTGAACTTAAATCAGACACTATACTAAATCAATCAAAAGTGCTGAATCTCAGTATAAAATGAATCAAACTCGTATCTTCTGTCTTGCTAAAGTCTATTTGCAAAAAACAGACCTTACTGTTACTGAAGCATTGAAACTCCAAATAAATAACCAAATTAATTGACTATAAACCTATAAATAAGGATGCTAATAACTCAACTCAACTGGCTTTGACTTGACTTGCATCAAATTTTACCTCTAAGTTAACTCAAGTCAACTAAAAGTTAATTATATAAGATGCAGAGTAACATTAGAATATATATGGTTTGATCATTATTAGTTACAGTTATGATGAATTTAACATAAACCTATAGCATTAGCAAATTTATTATATTTACTTTTATATTGCACAAATTTTTAAAGCATGTGTAATTACATCAGAATTAGACAAATAATCAAAGTAATGTATAGTAAAAACAACTGATAAGTATTAAGTAATAATATATTAAGTAAAAAATAAAGTAATAGTGAAGACAATAAAAAAGTAATAATTATGTAAATTATAAAAAATATTAAAAAAAAAAGACTTATACCAAACTTTAGTAATTCAAAAATCAAAAAATTAATAATGTTATAATTTGAAAAATTTTAATTACTGTATTAGAATCTGTTTATATATAATAAAAAAAAATTTAAAAAAAATATTTTTATTTATTCAACTTTTTAAACACAGGTATGCCTATACACTTTCACTTAATAATCTATTTCTGACTTTACTAATAACTATTTTAGCTATTAAAAATAACTGTTCACAAGGAATTGAGCTTTCTTGTATTGATAAAAAATCTTGTACAAGATTAGATAATAATGGGAACTCAGTTTGATACATTTTCTATTATGTTAAAGGTTCAATGCTATTATTATAAAGGTAAATTCTAGTAACATTGTACTTTATCTACTTGTTATATGAATAATTTATTAGATATTGAGTTAATCATGTTACAAATATTGCCATTTTTGAAGCAGATGTTGTATTTAAACTTGTTACAGAAAGTCTATGTTAAATTGGATCAAGAATTTCTTTAATTGTTTTTCCTAAAAAAAATATTTCTTATAATGTGAGTTTAAAAATGCAGCCACATGTGAAATCTCATCAAGATATCTTTAATAAACCTGTAATTTATTATAAATTAATATAGAAATTTCTTTTAATAAATTATTCTCATTATTATAATTTTTCAAATCTGAACAAATACTAAATAAAATTATGCATGTATAAGCAATAGTAGAATAATTTTGAGATAATAATTCTTTTGTAGATATATAAAATTGTTCTAATAAATTTATAAGATCATTAATTTAATTCTATTCATTTGAAGACAAATATAAATTATTTAATAATGAATGATGCATAGCCATAATATCTAGATACTCTTTAAAAGTTTAAACTTATTGAAGCATAATAAAAGTTAAATTTTAGCATGTTTTAATATCAAGAATTGAATAAAGAAAAGTTTTTTTATCTACTAATAATATCATTCTAAATCTTCTAAATATGAATATAAGTTTCATATTACTTTTACTAATTGGCACACTTTTTTAATTAAAATATCTACTTTTTTAATTTGTCATTAACAGAAAGATTTATAATATGATATATACAATGATAGTAAGAAAATCTATTAAGATCATTATTAGGATTAAGTTGTTGCTTTATTTTGTTGCATACTAAAACCATATTTAAACTATTATCAGTTGTAATTATAACAATTTTTGAACTTAAATTAAATTCTTTTAAAACTTTTAATATATAATTACTAATTGCTATAACTGTATAAGATCCTTAAAATTTTATAATATCTAAAGTAAAGTGATATAATTTCTAATCACTATTAACAAAATAAATAATAAGTGTGATAAAGCATTCTATTTTTAGATTAGCTCAAAGATCTGTTGTAACTGAAACTTTTTCTGGAATATTATTAATTATTAAATTAATATTAGATCATTATGTTGTAAACATTTTAAATATCTTGTTATGTATTGCTTGACATTTTAGAATTACAAATAAGAGAGCAAGTTTATTTAAAAAATTATGAAATAAAATATTATTCACAATAGAAAAAGGTTGCATTGCCTTAATAATCCATTTGACTAAAAGCATTAACTATTCTAATTGTTCTTTTTTAAAATACATTTGAACAGAACTTTTTTGAGTTAATAGATTATGCTTAACAAGATAATCTCATATACTTGATATACTAGTTTTTGGTAAAAATATAAATTTATATATTAAACAATAACAACATTTAGAATCATTTTTATTCACATAATGCCAGACATTAGAAGTATAATGATCTGAGCTTTTAGTATTAGGTTCTTCAATTTCAGATATTTGTATATCAATATTAATATTTGAATTAAAAGTGTTTTTTAATTCAACTTCTTCGATTTTAGCTATATAGTTTCTAAGCCATCATTATTTTTAACTTCTTTAAAATTTTCAAAATTTTTATTCATTGTATTAAAAAAAAAATAAAAATATACTTACTTATATATAGTTGATTGCATCTATTCACAACTATATGCATAAGTTTAAAAATATACATTTATAAAAGTTTTATAAACTTTGAATCAAAACAAGCATACATTTAGAAAAAGACACTTGATGTATATATTTATAAAGATACATTTATTAGAAGTGCATTTATAAAGAACTATTCATATATGTATATGTGATTAAATTCTTTTAGATATTACTAAACTTTTTTAGTAAATAATTAGTTTTTTTGATGAAAAATATATCTTTAGCAGTATAGGTAACCTTACTTTATAATCAATTGATTAATAAATACATTTTTATTAAAGAAGTTATCTATATAACAAGAGATCCTTTATGTTATTTGAATATGTAAAATAAATTTTAATATATAAATTCTTTAAATAGATAATATATTATTATACATATTTGTTAAAGATTTATGCAAACTAATTGAACAAAATTGATCTATTGCATAAATCTCTTAAATATTAACTACTTATTGACCTGAGTCAACTGACTTGCATATTAGTCAACTTGAAATAACTATCAATTAAAGTTACAAGTTATTGACTTGAGTTGAGTCATTAGCATTTTTACTTATGAAGAAATGGAACTTATTTTATGAGCTGAACAAGCTGTCCTTAATAAAGAAGAAGAGCAACTTTTTTAGCAAACCTTGGCTAAGTTTTTTGATATTAGCCATTCAGAATTTGACTATTAGCTTACTATAGCTAATCTTTGTTAACAGTTTAGTGCTTCTGTTAACTTTTGCAAGAATGCTTATATGTTAAGCACAAAAATGAGTTAGATGTTTACCAAGAATATTGCCAGGACTGTGCTCCTTTATCAGTTCCTATCTACAAACCCTCTATACTAGAACCAGTAGACTTCTTGGCAAATAAAACTAATGCAATCTTACCAGAATCAGACTCCTTGTAACCACAAGTTGCACAACTACAACAACAGGTTAAAACCCAGAATCAACTTATTCTACAGCTCCAACAGAAGGTAAAAAAGTTAGAAAAATTTATCCAGACCTTCTTACAAGTATTTTAACAAGATGCTCAGACCACTTAATAATGATATACTTCTCTTGCTCAAGAATAAGAAAAGTTAAATTTTTAGATCATTCTAGGCAGGATGAAAAACTACCTGTTGAACCAGATAATATGCATCAAGTTTTTACAATTGACATTATGATTCCTTATAAAGAATATAGTATTAGCCTAGAACCATCTAAATTGAATATTGAACCTTTAGATACTAAACAAGAAAAACAATTTAGCCAGCTGCTAATGGAGTTCTTAGATCTTTTTGCAAAGATACAACAAAATTAGGATATACTGATCTTGTAACTTATCGAATCTATACAGAAGAAAGACCTTCTATTCGATCACAACTTTATTTTTCTTCTTCTACAGAACAGATATTTATTAAAGAAGAAATTCAATGAATGCTCAATAAAGACTTATATGACCCTTCTTTAGCCTCTAAACTTTATTAGTTGTATTAGTTTGAAAGAAAAATAGCAAATTACAATTCTGTGTTGATTATTGTAAACTTAATAGTATTACTAAGAAAGATGCCTATTCCTTACCTTATATTGATAAAATGCTTAATACCTTAAAAGAATCCAAGTGGTTCTCTACACTTGACTTTGCAAGTAAATATTAGCAAGTTGCTATGCATCCTGCAGACAGAGAAAAGACTGCTTTTGTAACTCAATATGATATATATAAGTTTAATGTAATGCCCTTTGAACTATATAATGCATTTGCGACCTTTCAATGATTAATGGATAAAGTATATTAAGACATTGCATAGAAATTTGTAGTAGTTTATCTTGATAATACTATAGTATACTTCAAGACCTTCAATGAATATTTAGAATATTTATAACAAACTTTTATTAGAATCAGAAAAGCCAATTCACAATTAAATCTAGAAAAATGTAATTTATAAATGCAAAGTTTGTCATTTTTAGAATACATAGTTAACTTAATTAAAATAGCACCTGATTCTTAAAAAATAGAAGCTGTTCAAAAGATTCAATCACCTAATAATATAACTCAACTATGTTCATTTTTAGAACTAGTAGGTTATTATCAACAGTTTATCTATAACTTTTCTAAAGTAGCATAGTCTTTAAATCAGCTACTATGTAAAGAAACTGCTTATATATGAGATAAACTACAACAAGAAGCTTTTGAAAAATTGAAACAAAGACTTATCACAGCTCTTATATTAAAGTATCCTAACTTTGATAGATTATTTATCTTAGCTACTAATGCTTCTTATTATAGATTTGAAGCTACTTTTAGTCAATTAAACAGAAACAGAAAAAAACATCTTGTAGCTTATACAAGTAAAAGTTTAACCAAAGAAGAAGTTAATTACAGTGACACTGAACTTGAATGTGCTGCAGTTGTATAGACTATTAAACATTTTTATAAATATCTTAAAACTGCCAAGTTTATCTTAATTACTAACCACTCTGCTCTTAAATAGTTACAATTCACTAAATCTAAAGAACATTTAAAAAGATGAATTCTAAAACTTCAGCCTTATAACTTTAAAATTATTTATAAACCAAAAAGAGTTCACTCCAATGTAGATGCCCTATCTTGACTACAGACACAGACCTCATACCAAAACCCTTCTCATGAATTTGAACCTCTATTATAATTTATATAATTATATAGAATTAGACAAGTTACTTAACTCTCTATTCCAGAAACAGATTAAACAAATACAATATCATGCTAGACATTTTATTATTAAGAAAAACTATTATATAAAAAAAACAAAAAAAACTCTTAGTACTCTCTTCATGTGATCAAATAAAATGAAGTAAAACCTGTTCTGTATATGATACATAAGCATCCTACTGCAAAATACTTAGAAACAGATGCTATATACTATAAAATAGCTAAATAATATTATTAAGACCAAATATATTGAGATATACAAGAATATGTTAGAATATGTAAAGAATGCTAAAAGAGATTAAAAAACAAATGAACTGAACCTTTTCATTCTATTCAAATAAAACAAGTCTTTGAATGAAATAGAATTAACTTAGTAGGACTCTTACCACTTATTAAGCAAAATAATCAATATATTATTGTTGCTACTAACTATTTAACAATATGGTCAGAAGCCCATGCTGTATCAAATGCTAAAGCAAATACCTTAACTCAGTTTATTTTTAAAGAAATTATTTGTCAATATGGAATACCAAAAATTATTCTCTCTGATCAAAAAAAAAATTTTATTAGTAAAACTGTTTACATTTTATGTAAAAAATTTTTATTAAACATAAGTTCTCTTCACTATACCACCTATAAACAAATGGAATAGTTGAACATCTTAAACAAACTTTATATAAATCATTTGCTAAAGTAAAAGAAAATAATGACTGAAACTTACATATATCTGCTGTACTACTTGCTTATTGAACAAAAAAGCATGCTACAACTGGATATACCTTTTTTTAGCTTGTATATAGATGATAAACTGTTCTTTCAATTGAAGCTTTACTATCTGTTAAACTCTATAAAAAAACAGAGTATGAATTACAAAATAGCATATTGCACCAAGCATTTAAGCTTATTGACAAGTTATCTGAATTGCAGAATGATGCAAGAGAAAAGACCAATAAATTATAACAAAAACAGAAGAAATACTTTGATGTCAAAATTCAGCATAAAACATTCGAAATTAATAACAAAGTATAGATAATTAGGAGAGACATAGAACATTCTCAATCAGCTAAATTTGAAGATAAAAGAACTGAACCCTTTATTATTCAAGAAAAATTAAACAATGGTACCTATAAACTTAGTAATGACAAAAAAAAACATTGCAAAAGTACTATAACAGTGATCATCTTGCTAAATATTACAAAAAACAAACATGAGAACCTTTTGTTTTTATTGAATAACTGAAATTTTTGGAAGAAATTTCTAAAAAACTGAAGGAAAAAACAATAATATTATACAAATTTTTCAATATTACAATTTATTTAAAGATTGTGATATTTGAAAATTTATATAAATACCCTTGAATCATACAAATTTTTCTAAAATAAAATTTTTAAATTTATAACCAGAAACAGTAATTACTTTAAATAACTTTCTCCAAATCTGAAAACAGAACTTCGCATCTAAAAATCACTTAGATATATTATCTTAAAATATTATTCTTTGAAGTGATAAAAAACTAGAAAAAGTTATTAACTTAAACCTTATAATAGAAGCTTTTGTAGAATTTAATATCGATGAATTTTTATAATTAAAAGAAATATAACTTTTTTCAATTAAAACTTCACTTAATGAAGTATCTACAAAGTTAAAAAGTAATAATACCAACCATTTAACTTAAATAATAAATAATTTGAAACAGACACCAGTGCCAACAACTCATAGTATAACCAACTTTTTTTCCAGAGGAACATGAAAAGAATAAGTTAATCAAATTTTAAAGTTCTTATCTACTTCTAGACATACTCGACATAATCTCAACAAGAAAATTAAAGCTTACTATTATCTAGAACAAATAATCTCGAAGTTCAACAACTCTTCAGAGATTAAAGACCTTATCCAGAATGCTTAAGTAACAAGAAGAGCAAAAAATACTTGAAAAGATGCTTTCAAAATATATGAAGTTCTTGAATTATAACTAAGAGAAATAACTTTACAGTTAAAATATATGACTATAATGCATATTATCAAGTTGCTAGATAATGAGTATATTAACTCCTTAAATTAATTAGAATATAGAATTTATAAAGTAAATTTTTAATAAAGACAGAAATGTTATAAAATGAATTATTATTATTTTATTATTTTTTTTTTTTTGAACTTTGGCAACAATGCCAGTTAGTTTTTATTAGCTTTTAATTTGATATAATACAAATTTTATAGTTACATTTTAGGATCGATTATTACTAGTACTATATACTATCTAATTTAATACTACTAACTTCATCCAGTTACTCTTATGGCACTTAAGTGCATGTTCACTGCATGTTGCATATAGTTATCTTGG